CTTTATAAAGGAACACTCCAGAAAGCCTTAATTCATTTTATAACTTACTGAACAATTAGCTGATTTTTTGAATACCTAATTTTGAATAGTTTTTGTTAACAAATTAATGTTAATCATATTTCTGCATCTTAACCCCGCCTTCACTGCCAACCTCTTGAATTCTGAAATACTTTCTTCTTGATGTTTACTGTGTCTTCTTGCAGCTACTTTTCTACCTCGTTCTGTGGGATTTATCTAGTGTGTGGGCTAGTGGCTGACAAATTTATAATCTCTGAATATGTGACAACCACTGGTGGAACTACCGTGGTCGCAGGGGTCATAGCTGTGACTGGGCCCGTCACTCCAGGGGGCTCGGCCTCCCTGCAATCGCAGTAGTTCTGCCGGCATTTTGGTGCGGCCCACCACGGCCACATTGAAGGTGGCCCCAAAAACATTGGCTACCCAATGGCAAAGGATTTCCTGAGGCCCTGTCAGCACTGCGGAGCTTTAAGAGCGCGACCGGGCCACAGTGATGACGGCAGAACTGTGAGGAAGCCATCACTTCCTCCCAGCTAACAGAGCGCCCCATGGGAGGAGACCGCTGGGAAGGAGAGGAGGGAGTCAGAGTGGGAACTCTGACTCCCATCAGCATAAGGCAACCTTAGGACCCCAGGGAAGTCACCATCCTGCACCTAAAAGGTAGGAAACAGGAGGGTGACTAGATTTTTTTTAACAGTTTGTTTGTGTGTGAGAGAATGTCTGTTTCAGTATATCTGTGTCTGTGTGTGTGTTTGTCTGTATGTGCGTGTGTGTGTGTATGTGTGTGTGTGTGTGTATGTGTGTATGTCGGTGTATATGTCTGTGTGTGGGTGTCTGAATGTCTGCGTGTGGGTCTGTATGTGTATCTCTTAGTCTGCATGGGTATCTGTTTGTCTGTATGTGTATCTGAATGTTTGTCATTAAGTGTGTCTGTGCATCTGCATGCATGTCTATATGTGTATGTGTCTGTGTGTCTATATGTCTGTATGTGTATCTGTTTATCTGCATATGTGTCTGTATGTGTATCTGTATGTCTCTATGTATATGTGTCTGTATGTGTATCTGTTTGTCTGAATGTGTGTCAGTGTGCACCCCTATGTATCTGTATGTGTGTCACTGTTTTATCTGTATGAGTGTCATTCTGTGTATGTGCATCTGCATGTGTGTCTATATGTGTGTCTTTCTGTATGTGTGTCTGTGTTTCCGCATGTGTATCAGTGTGTGTCTGTGTATCTCTAGAAGTATCATTCTGTGTATCTGAATTAGCATGTGTGTCTGTGTATGTATCTGTATATGTATGTGTTATACAAATGGAGGGGCGGGGGAAGATGCATGGGGAGGGAGGGAAGGGCACTTTTCGCACCGGGCCCTGTGGTGTCTAGTTACCCCCCCTGGGGACAACTAGTGTTCAATATACAATATACAGTATTGGGTTAAGTATTAACAAGGTTTTGGGCTAACTAACACTTTAAACTACGTACAGTGGAATGAAAGGCTCCTGATGATTTGCAATACATCTCTCGGGAGTGGGTAAAACTCAAAGGTGATGATGTAAAGTGAGTGGATTTTGAAAAGAAAATTTTAAATGTATGTTTTTTTTTGTGTCGCTTATCATTCAGAGCTTTCTGCAAATGCATATTAAAATTGTAAAATTAATAAAAATCTCAAAAATAAAATCTCGATATTTGCAGCAAACAAATGTACATGATGAATGAAATGTCATTCTTTTCTTTTTTATTGGTATCAAAACCAGTGTTTCTTTAAATCCAATGCTTATGAAATAGAGGGTCTATGGTCCAGTACGAGATTATATCTGAAAACGCTCATGACATAGTAATTAAGCATTTAACTTTGTAAAGTACCACTGAGCTCACCCAATAAGCAGTGCTTCATATGCACACCAAAGGGTCTTGATGAGATGTGGTTAAATAGTCATAAAGCATTCAATATTTATAGTGCAATAAAGGGAAACTCTGCAGGTTGTGAAAGAGAGGCAGAAATGGGCTTCTCGAGCATTAAATAAATAAATAAAGTACATTATTAAAAACCAAACACACTAACCAACACACTGCACTTAAAGGACGACTGAAGCCACTCAGATTAGATAATCTTGATGATTGTCTGTAAAACATTGCCGTTTTGTAGAGACAGCAATGCTTAAATTGCTAATTTAAATATTCCTCTAGTGGCTATCTTCCTGACATCCACTAGAGGCACTTCTGCTGTGAGAACTAAGTCAAACTTGGTCCTCACAGCTAACCTCATTTTGATTGGAGGAGGGCACTGCAGGCTGCATATGAGCTGTCCTTCTCCAATACTCCTCTATTAGGAGCATTGAATTGGACGAGAGAGCAGAGTCAGCGAGACATTGCAGGAATTAGATCGAGTGACTGCAGGGACTGGATCTTGGCACTAGAAAAAAAGATTAGTGAAACTTCTTTTCCAAATTTCTGTTTAGATTTGGTAGATCACTTTTGTTTCTGTCCATGCAGTCATAGTCACCCATCCCCCTGGCTGCATGAAAAAAATTGTTTAATTTCAACCAGATGGTAACGTACTTTAGACATTTTTCTCTCCTGCTCTGCAAATTGAACTTTAATCACAAACAGGAGGCAAGGTTTAGCAAGCTGTTAACAGTGCAGGAGATAATAAATTCTAAATTAAACAGACTGTGTAGAAAAGCAAGTGTAAACTTTAGATCTCTCTTTACAGGAAGTGTTTAGGAAAGCTGTGTAATTCATATGCAGGGAGGTGTGACTAGGGATGTATGAGCAAAGTAATTTAACTCCTAAATGCCAGAGAATTGAGCAGTGAGACAGCAGGGTCATGATCTATACACCAAAACTGCTTCATTAAACTAAAGTTGTTTTGGTTCCAATAGTGTCCTTTTTAACTAAATGGAGTTGCTATTCCTAACTTTATGGTGTTCATTTAATGTGTGGGGGCTGGAATGGACTTCTAAGGTGATGCAAATGGCATAGGTGATATGTAATATAATCAGTATCTTGCGGTTGAAAGATCACAATTGAAGCCAAAAGTTTAAATCCTGTATTTAAGATAATTAGAGAATTTATTCTTACTGTCACATTTTAAAACTGTATAAATACCATTTTTGCCATATTGTTGTGCATCCGAGTATTAAAGATTTAATATATAGCAGCTCTCATGAGAACACAGAAAGCCACACTCAAAGAGACAATGAAGATCGAGTCAATTAAATATTCAAAACAATTAGAATGTTCTGAAGAATATTTACATACATTGTCAAAGAGATCCCTAAAGCGCTCTTTGGATTGTTTTCACTATTTACTGTCACCAGCTAATATACAGCTTGATTCACCACTGATGTTGTCTTCAATTTATTAGAAAAAAAACATTTAAAAAATATGCATTTAAATAATTTCAGAATACTCTGGATATTGCTATCTTGTTTAACGCACGCCATGTCATAAAATTCTTTCACGACAGTATGTTTTACTTACTTTCCACACATAGACACGATTGCCTAGCATGACTCCCACCATCTGATCTTACTATAATCCAAAAAATGCAGCACTCTCTACTTGTTAACCTAAATGCTCATCAACTTTCTTGCTTTAACCCATTGTCACTGCATGACAAAAATAAAGAATTAAAAAAATAATAATAATAATAATTTCAGAACATAATTTCTTCTCTAGTTTTATAGTCCTATCTGTTTGTATAACTATAACGTCTTTTCGGCATTTTGTTTAGCCAATTGTCATTCTACACAAGTGTCTGTCCTTTAATAAAACTCCTTAATTCAATGTTATATTCCTACCTGTTATTAACCCAAAGTAGTCCTACTCATATTAAATCTGCCCAGTCCTTTTCCTTACCAGCTATGTTTTGACGACATCTGTAACTCTTCGGATTAGACATTAGACAGATATCGACTGCTTAATGTCTTCATAGTCAGTTTTTTTTATATTACCACACTTATACAGCAGCAGTCTACTAGGGACCATTTATCCTACTTAGCTCCCCTTATCACCTAAGAATTATTTTTTAGGAACAAATAAAGTAAATATTCTTAATATTACATATATTACAGAAATAAAAATGTTAGAAATGAGTAGTGAATAAAACGAGGTGACCTAATAGAGTTTAATGAGGTTAACAGAGTTAGAATTAGAAACACTTTTTCAGAATTTAGTAAATTGAAGACTGCCAGGATTATTTACTAAAGTGAATTTCAAATTTAAGGCCAGAGTAGCCAAACTGAAAATGTATCTGACAGAGACTTTTTCCTGTTCGGCTGCTCTGAATTTAAATGTGAAATTCATATGGAATCCACCTTGATTTCTCACTTTTGTGAATAACTGTGTGATATTGTTTAAAAAAAAAACAGCAAGTCAGGAAAATGCTTATTATTTGCCTAATATACCTCTTCTCTCTTTATTATACGACTTATTATTTAGGATAAAATGTGACATTTACAGATATATCCACTGTCTCAGACACTATTTAGAAGATTTAGTAATTTGTCTACACTTTTTGTCCATCTTTAGGATCGTATCACCCAGTACATACATTACTCAATGTCCAAAAAGGCTTCTCGAACACAGCTTTACTTACCATATAATCTCATACGTAAGCAGTAAACTATATTAAATCCTCATGGCGTAGGTATTATTCCTGTTTAATCGAGAGGTTTCTTAGGGGTGCTGACAGTAACACTTTATAAAGAAATGGAAAGTTAAAGAATTACATCAACCCACTCGTGCTGAAGATGTCAATCACAAGCAAGTTGTGGGTGTTCAAAGACAGCAGCACAGAGATTGGCATTCTCTTCCTTTAGTTTCTCAAGTCTACTGTGAGCTCTGCAGGGTTATAGAGCGTGTACCATGATGATTTTGTACTATATCTATTCTGGGCAGCTCGGCATCCCAGCTGGACTGACATACAAAATATGTGGTAAAACAATATGTGTTTAAAACAGGCTTCCCCAAACTCTGGCCCTCCAGATGTTGCTGAACTACAACTCCCATGATTCTCAGCCTATCTAGTTCATAGAATCAGGGGAGTTGTAGTTCAGCAACATCTGGAGGGCCGGAGTTTGGGGAAGCCTGTTTTAAAATGTTCATTTGACTTGGAAAAGTTTCATCCTCCCTTCTACATCAATGGTTGTCCAAGCACATCAAACAGTATTGCAGTAATTGCAGAATATAATATTAAGTAACAAATGTGCAGTTACATAAATGTTTGAAATGACTGCTAGTTCAGAACTGTACTATAGTATACGTGTGAATACACCAGTATTTGAATGCTTGTGTACTATGTTTAGTGGGAAAAGTGTCCTGAATTTGTTTAATTGTATTGTGGGTTAGTTATCTAGTTGACGTGCCAGGAAATTGCCAGGAAATTGCTAGATTGTTCTGAACCTTGGCCGATGTCTGAATATGAACCCATAGAACTGCTGAAAGAACTCTTGCATTGAGCCTTGCATTCAGAATGGGTAATTGGAGATTATGTATATTGTGCCGAGAGGCACACTATTTTAATACTATATGAATGAGGATAGATTGAATTAAAAGCTACCCTACTTGTTTTTCATTTGTAGGCTAAATGAGTATTAGAGACTGCTGATGGGGTGAAAGCTTAGAAATGAACCAATTAGGAAATAGTTTTAGTATAGATTGTATTACTTTGGGATTACAGAGTACATGCTGTGCCTCTATTGAGTAAATGGATATCCTCTCATTAGCATTTGTTCTACTTTAATTACTGACTTAAATGAAGGCAGTCATTTGTCATTAGAATAATAATAAATTAATTCTCCATGCTCTTAATATTCCACAATTACTGGCTCCCTGGTACTTGAAACTTGGTTGGACTTTATGTACATGATACATGCTGCATGCCACGTGGATTATAAGGAGTTAACTGGTTTTCAGACACCCCAGGACTTTACTGGGAGAATTTTCTCCATAGAGATCTATACAGCTGGTGTCTATTCACAAAGATTACACACCCAACAGAAATCATTTGGAGGTCTTTATAATTGTCTTTTCCCAAACATAATAATCTAGACCTGGGGTACCCAAAAGGTAGATCCCCAGATATTTTAAAACTACAGAATCCATGATGCTTTGTCATTCTCAATGTATTCTAACGGCATGTAGAGCATCATGGGAGTTGTAGTTCTACCACAACTGGTGATCTACCTTTTGGGCACCCCTGGTCTATACATTTGAAAGGAAAGTTCCATCAGTGACTTTAAACATGGTAAAAAAAACAAAACAAAAAAACAGCAAGAATGGACCAAGATAGTTGAACACATAAATCAAAACATTCATGTAGACAGCTAAATTGAAAAATTCTGATGGACAAGGGGCTACTACATTTATGTATCAATTTATTAATGGAATACTGAAGTTCTTTTAAATATGGTTGCAATGATTCCTTGCAGTGTTACATTGGACACACTAATAACACTTCGGCATTCCAAAGTAAATTGTTGAAAATCCAAAGCTTCATTTGTTTCATTAATTGTATATCTTTCTTTTTTCTATATTACTATATTCAATTCCTAAAATAGATTTTGAAATGAAATATTAAATAAAAGGGAGAGAAAAGGAGTATAAAATAAAAATTACCACTATACTATTATGATCTGTGTGAAATAATGAATAAATGTGTAGAATCTGTATATCTACGAATTCAAACTAGAAAGGAAGATCTGTGATAGGACTCGTGTTGGAAGCTACGGTTACCAATCGTTTTCCATTGTTATAAAATGCTTATTTAATTTGAAACATGTTTATGTTTTCACCAATACTGTATATCTTTGCATTGCTGATAACAGTAACGTTATTTATAGTGTGTTTCAAAGAGTTTTGACATACTGTAACATACTGTAACTTCTACTAACACACTAGCTTTGCTTCTATCTGATTATTGATTCGAAGTTAACATTTGAACTTCACACATTTTTCCAAGTCTTCTTTCGCTGTGTATCTTCCCTGCCTGTCTCCCTTCATGCAATAGGCAATTCAATGGGACATAGAGCTCCTTGTTACTATGGTTACATTGACTCCCTAGTGATTTAACCATTCCATATCCCATGTGCATGCTAAACATTCATAGGTTCTGCTTTTTATTATATGAATGCATAGATCTATTTTCAGAATGCCTTAAATATTTGAGTGAGGAAAATATTCACATTGTCTGCTGTGTTCTGCCAGGTAATCACTAACGTTCATATCATTGGTGGAACTACCATCGATTTTTAGAGATAACCGGTTTTTGGATTGGAGAACTAGCAAAATATATATTTACTATATATAAATTTTAAAAAACAAGTAAGAGAAAAATTGAAAATATCTAATATATTCAAAGAAATCAAAACACAATACTGAAAAATTGAATGTTCTGGGTTTTCTTAACCTGACAAATGCCATCTCAGAGGCAGTTAAAATTAAGCCGCCAACCATAAAATGTGTGAATGCATTATGAAGGAGGTATAACTTTCTAATGTACTATCTGTAATGGCAACATCTTCACCTAGTCTTTAGAATTAACAGATATATTTACCTGAAGCCTGCTCCCTTTCCCTCTAAAATGAGTGCATTGTTAAATGGCATGAATGTTTAATGCAGCATTCCCAATTTTCCTGTGTACAGCCTCAGGCTAAACTGTGATTAGGATTATGGTAAAAAAAAAAATTTGGGTGCATTGGTTAGAGAGAATTTATTTGTACAGTTTGCATGGGGTTTTTTTTGACGGAAAACTGGTAAAGGAAAATATTTGAAAACAAAATAATGAAAATTTTCAGCTCAATTTTCACGTTACTGGAAAATTTACTTAAAAATGGGTTCCAGTTTAAAGCAAGGACATAAACTACCTCTTTCATCAGACTTTTATTTCCAGTGTAATTGCAGAGTATGCGCAGTACTGAAGAAAACAGAATAGCAAGGGACAGGTAAACACAGTGAAACCTTTTCACTGTTGCATCTATGAGACTGCCTGTCAGCCCTGTTAAAATATAATCTGGAGTTTATGAGACTCCATCATAGGCATTGTCAGGTGGCTTCCAGGGGTTGAAGCCCCAGACATGGGATGCTTCAGGCCCAGATCTCTACAGGTAGTGGAGAGGTCAGGAGGATATTTGTGGTTTTTGTTTTATGTTTTCCTAAAGCAGCCGCTCGATCTAAAAAGAAACATAAGATCTAGTAGAGCTTCCCCAAAGCTACTAAGTGAGAGGCGGTGGTGCCCCTAGTCAACTGTCAGGAGTGGGGAGCCGAAAGAACTCTATTAGATGGGTAGTTTTGTGGGATCTCTTTGAATACCTGACTGTTCAGCTAAGCTTTCAATTAGACCTTGTAGAGGAAGAAGCGGCACATTGTTCATGAGTAGAGAGGAGAGGACATAACATAGAGGACGGGAATATGTCATGATATATATTCCCACCTACTGATGATTAGTGTGTGGGTTATCAAGTTTTGCTTTGGTCTGGAGCTCCAGGTGTCATTAGAATCTAGTAATGCACCTGGACTTCATGTAAGAAAATAGAGATAGTCATCTCTTGTCATCTTGAGAAAAACACTATTGAAACTCTGAACTGATTATTTTTAAACAATAAAAAAAAAAAGCATTGGTTACCTAAACCCCAATATTTATCATGCAAGGCTTGGTGAATGGCAAAGAGTTAATAGGTCATGACGATCAATCCCCTTCTTCCCTCATTGTGTGGTGGTGGAGAGGGTAATAGTGGAGGCTAGGGTGTCACAAAGCTGAATAGCTCATTTTCTTCTGCTGTAGCAACACATAGACACTATCTAGAAAATATAATTTTGGCCTAAGCTTGTCATAATGTTATAAAAACAGCTGTTTTAGCTGTACATTTAATTAAAAATGCACTTGCATAATGTTTAAATATCAAGTGAGTATTAATGAAGAGATTCCACTTCATTTTTGAATAACTGATGAACATTTTTTTCAAAGTAGTGACATCATTATTCGTGGAAAATATAAGGTTACCAAAGACGTGTTTAGTTTCAGATTGGCAAAAAAAAACTTTATTAACAAGATTTCAGATACATACTTGCTGGCAATTTGATTACCATTTTGTACAAATAAAATCTCAGACTCCATAAAAAAAAATGTAATTTTGCCCCCATCGGAGCTGATGCCCTGGACAATAAAATCATTGATTGGTTTGGGTAGAGGTTATTGCTGTAGGATAGAGTGCAGAGAATTCATATGAAAATATCCTAAATCACACAGAGGATTTCCAGCAAATATAATATATAATTAAAACGCTACCACGGTATTATATGTGACACATCTTTTGCCGCAATGGAAAAATAGAAAAAAAGCCTTTTAAAGTGTGTTTTACTACATCGTAGATGTACTCTGAGATGTGCATTTCTAAGTGTGCAAATATATTATTAAAGGTTTTTGCATCACTGTTCATGTAAATGAGAATTCATAATTTTATGTTCAGGAAGAGTAACCCGCCATGTCCTTTTTACGCCTTACTAAATACGCACATTGACAGGTAACTCACAGAGCATGCTAATTTGCATTCCAATATCTGTCTCACAGGTTCTAAATCCTGCCCCTTATTAAATCTACACCATAATACTCAAGTACACAGTGTGTAATATGAATGGTGTAGTTAGCAATCTGCAGGCAATTACAGACAAACCTTCGGATGTTGAGTGGACAATATTTCAGATAGCCAAAGCAATGAAAAGGATATTAGGGTTCATTTATCAAAGTCTCATAGTCTCATCAGATTTACAAAGAAAAATCAGCCTCATTACAACTAATAGGGTCTCCTGGATTTATTCCAGTCGCAATCATTCTGTATCCATGTTTACCCTATTTTTGCACTTGTACAATATTGATGAATGACGCAGTTACATATGTGGGCACTTCAACTGTAACGTGATAAATACATTCTTGGGCAGGATACAAGATGTGCACAAACACAATGAGTGATATTTATAGAATTTATAGAACATGCATGGCATTTTTTTACCCTTTTTTGAAAATTAGGAATTGTGATGAACTGACACGGGAATTGGAAATTTTAAGCCAAAA